TGCATCCCCTGACCTGTTCCTGGCATCCCCTGACCTGTTTCTTGCATCCCCTGACCTGTTCCTTGCATCCCCTGACCTGTCCCTTGAATCCCCTGACCTGTTCCTTGCATCCCTTGACCTGTTCCTTGTATCCCCTGACCTGTTACTTGCATTCACTGACTTGTTCCTTGCATCCCCTGACCTGTTTCTTGCATCTCCTGACCTGTTCCTTGCATCCCCTGAACTGTTCCTTGCATCCCCTGACCTGTTCCTTGCATCCCCTGACCTGTTCCTTGTATCCCCTGACCTGTTCCTTGCATCCCCTGACCTGTCCCTTGCATCCCCTGACCTGTCCCTTGCATCCCCTGACCTGTTCCTTGCATCCCCTGACCTGTTCCTTGCATCCCCTGACCTGTTCCTTGCATCCCCTGACCTGTTCCTTGCATCCCCTGACCTGTTCCTTGCATCCCCTGACTTGTTCCTTGTATCCCCTGACCTGTTCCTTGCATCCTCTGACCTGTTCCTTGCATCTTCTGACCTGTTCCTTGCATCTCCTGACCTGTTCCTTGCATCCCCTGACCTGTTCCTTGCATCCCCTGACCTGTTCCTTGCATCCCCTGACCTGTTCCATGCATTCCCTGACCTGTTCCTTGCATCCCCTGACCTGTTCCTTGCGACTGAAACGATGGCCCAAATTTCCAGATGCAATGTGTAGTTGTGCGGAATGGAATACTACGAGGTTGAAAGGACTGTTCTTGAGTATAGTAAAAAAAATAATATTAGGAAACAAGTCATTGAAAACGGGTGAATGAATGCACATTAGGTAAAAAATTTAATCCATATATTTAATTTCAATTCAGTATGTAATTATATAAAATACAAATGTGAACACATTTATTGACGCACTCATGTTTACACAAAAATAGGTAATTATTATTACAGTCATTTACTACAATTCCACGGACAGAGGCGTCTATTCTCAGTGACACCAGAAGCGACTCCAGAGACAAAATAAAGGGAGCAAGTGAAACCAGGTCGCCTTTGGTACACTACTACCTATATGAAAATAACCAGTACTGAGTAACTTCCGGTTTCCTTCTTTGCTTAGAAAAACTAAAAGGCGTCATTCGGTCCAAGTTGTCGTTGATCTTTAACGAATATGCCACCTGTCCACATACTCCTGATAGTATACTTCAATGATTTAATGAGCGTGCGCACGACACATGTTATCAGTTACTTGAAAACGCAACATACATTAATGTTCACCGTGAACCCCGTCGTTTACGAAAGATATCTAAAAATGTTTACAAAGAAGTAGCAAACAAAATTATAGTTCAATATTTGTTTTCACATTGTAATTATTGTATTAATGACATTTCACAGTTAACTGTTATATATTATTAGAAAACTAGAGGAGCTCATTTAAATTATATGCAAATTTGCACAGGAGTGTGTTAATCACCATATTACATTGTTTCCACATTGAGGCTACGCCAATAGAACAATAGCTATGAAGAAATGAATAATGATTAGATTAACGCCTGTCTAGCGCTGCGTCATCCAGCTGTACACTCGCAAAATATATAAATATATAAAGCTGTTTCAAAACAAAAATCAATAAATTTATCGCTACATGCACAGTCTGTCTGCTTACAATGGTGAAGTGTGTGAGAATTTTTATTCTTATAAATATGCAGCATATCGTCGATAATACGCATTGTGTTTATTATAAATAGATACCATAGACGGCATACAAAATTGTCCTGATCTCTACAAACATACACAATTTGAACCCAAACGAGAAGTCCCCCCGGGCCGATCAAACAACACGAGAACGCCTCCAAAGCATTGCTTTGATAGACTGACTTCGTAACATGTTCGAGAATCAGCGTGACAATATTTACTGTCTGTTGGGTCGCCATATTGTTGAATAATGCGCAATTTTTTTTAACGACAACTGAAACGTGGCTAATACGACTTAGTATAATTGGACATTGCAGACGTCTGCTTTATAGGTCTACAAATCACGTGCCTGGCACAAATCCTACGATTGGCTGTTAACATCATGTGAAGACAAAAGTTTCCCGCTATACTGATGAACCGCGGGAAACCTTATGTAGATGTTCTCTTGTCCAACATTTCCTTATTTAAAAGATGATAAATTTATTAGAATCATTTTATTAATATAGGACATCAGACCAAAACATTATTCACCCTGTGACGGCTTTCCATTTACACGTCTGTCGTCTTTCATCACTTGAGGGCGCAACATTGTTTAATACCTGTGTTTAGAAACAAGAGTATCTTTAGAGAAAACGTTGTGGCGCTGTAAACTTCTACAGCGCAAAGATGATTTGTTTATTTCAATATATTTACTTGTTGACTTCACAAATAACCAAAAAACTCAAAATAATAATAACACAGTGTTATGAACTATTTGATTTATTAATCAATGTACATTATATTACACAATATGCACTTAATAATAATTTGATGCTACGGATGTTTTCAGGAATATTGTTACAAGTTTAGGCACCTAAGTGAGATAGAGTAAACTGCCCAGATTTCATTTGATTAATGCCCTTGACCCATATGGTTGAGCAGCATGCATGTATGACACACCCTAAAGTATATGCATATAATGGATATACGTTCATGTATTTAAAGTCATAAATAGTTACATATGCATATGCACAAACAATTTTAATAGATATACGAAAAACATCTTCTACATATTTAACATTGACACAAATAGATCAAATGACTTACCAACACTATGTGTATGTATTCACAGAGCGCAAGTACAATTTATTACTGAATGAATATTCTTTTTCACATCTGAATAGGCGTCTGCCTTAAAGCAGGTTAATGGAACGACCACATTTATTATCTGATTATATATCGACTAAGGTTGAATAAAGTGGCGATGTCATCGTAAAAGCACTTTCAAAAAATTGTATCTGATCGAATGAAAAAAAGAAACAGCTTTTTTATTTGTTCTTGCTCATAGTGATGAACATGTTATTATATTGTGATAGAAACAGGACATATATCTTGTTGTTGTAAATATATTTCAAGTTTACGGCGAACGACAGAAAGCTGTTTCTTAGCTCATGAACGTATTTATAAAAAAAGTAAACACACAACTTTCATTCAAATTTAAATATTTAATAGTAATTAGCCCAAGAAATCAATATTGTTTACGCATATAATGCGAGCACAGGCTCAAGTGGCATTGCGGCCGTCCACTTATTCAAAACAAACATTGCTTATTGGATGATATTGATCTAACCTACAGATTAAATTGATTTTAAGATGATGTCACCATATCATTTCTGGAGTGGTCGATTTGAATCCCAACAGCCATATTGATTTAAAAGGTCCCCAGGTTTATGCTGTTCACTGTAATGAGAGTTATTAAAACTCCCACGTGTCAAATTCAAACACATCCTCGTACAGCACAGACAACACTGACACAAATAATGTGTTTTTCTTTTCATTTAAAAAAACAATTGTTGACATGCATACTGTTGTCGACTATAATTAAAGTTGTATTGAAAATATTGAAACATACCAATATTCACATTTTTATTGCAATATATGGGCCACGGTTAAACAGAAATTTGTAATTTTTTGCTGATATTATAACAATTCATCATCTTATCCGGAAAACTCATTTACAACGTCCCATGGCATACCATCAGCATTTACATCACCAAGAATTAAAAATTCCGTCCACACATTGTTGTTTGCGTGATGAAATAAACGAAAATTATTATAACCATGCATCATGAAAATTGGATTATTATTGATGTCCATTTCCTTTAATCCATCAATCTCCAGTTCGACATCACCATCCCTGTCAACTACAATGTAGATATATATCTTATTATTGTTATATCGCTTACATGAACCAAAAAAGAACCGGCACTTGTCATCAAAAATAGCATTTAACGGAATCAGTATACGCTCAGTGCCGTATGGTGATATAGTGGGTAAGTCTTCGTTATATAGCGTAGCACAGAAGACACGCCTTCAAGGCCAACCACTGGC